ACTCGCCCCCGAGCGCTTGCTGCGTCGTCGAGCGAGGGGAAGCAAGCGACGCCGAGTCCGTCCCTTGTACGCCGTTGGGCTGGCTCTGCGACAGAGACGGCAGCGGATTTGTACCGTCCCTTTGCGCGATCGTGAACTGCTGTGCGTTGCTCGGCGGGCCGCTCGGACTGCGATGCTGTTCTGTCGGCGATTGCACACCTGTAACACCTTCGTCTGTTAGTCATCTTCACGTCATGTTTCCCTCGAGTATCGGTTCGCGGGCAAGCAGAATCTCACCGTCCGTGCCATCTGTGCCAGCCTGGCTCGGTACCGCAACTCCTTGTCCGTTCGTCTGGCCTGGCCTATCCGAGCCCGGGAACGCGCCCAAGCCTTGTCCTACACCTTGTCTGTTGCCATCACCATTAGGCAGGCCTCCTAGAGGTGGAAACTCCTCTTGCGTGTTGTTGGTCGGCCGTTGCACCGCGCTCTGTCCGTCATACTGACCCTCCAAGCTCGAACCGAACTGTGAACTGCTCTCCTGCTGAAGTCCTTGTTGCTGTTGCTGCAAAGGTTGGGTGGATGGTGCCCGTTGGGTGTTTTGGATGATGTTCTGGGGGCGCTGCAGGGATGCCGCTTGCGGCTGCTGTGCCTGTCTGAGCGCCGTGCTGTTCCAGGCTTGGGGAATGTTGTTCGGGATTTGGGACTGTTGGGGACCGCCTGACAGTGAGGGAAATTCACTTTCATTATCGTCAGCATTGGCGCCGAAGTCGTTAGCCCAAGCAGCATTATCCGTCTCGGTGTTGTTGCCCCATATCCTTTTGTTCTCGTCCTGGGAGAGTCTGCGAAACTTCTTCTTGCCCTTGGCCATGGTGGAAAGAACAAGAGGAATATGCAGTGATATGGATGTGTACGCACGAGAGATCAAGCGGTGCTTGCGAGGAAGAGCCTCCTATAGCTTGGGCGAAATTGCCCAGCGTCGTATTTGTACGTGACGGCGGGTTTGACATGCCAGGTCCTCCTGCCATTTGAAAGCCCCAGCCTGTACCGCTCGTGCCTGCTGTTTGTGAGAACGTGACCGTATCAGTGATTGCCCTCTTTGCGTGCACGCGATCGAACGCCAGGCGTTTGTCAACCGGATCTCGATTTACCTGGTTTGCCATTCTGTAATCGCTGCGATGCCAGCTGTGGATTTTGTCGCGCATTCGGTGCTGAGTTCTGGAACACGTTGCCGGCCATGGATCGGAGGGGTTGCGGTGCTGCACCTGGGCGTGAAGAGTTAGATTAGCTTGCTGTCGCAGCGAAGGGGTGATGTGAGGACGGGGCTGCGGCGCCCGTGAAGGATGGCTCGGTAGCAAGGAAGTGGCGGTGTGAAGCTGCAGGTGTGCTGTTTTCTCTCAAAGCGCTGTATGGCGCTGTGTTGTCGAGCGCCGCTTGTGAATGACGGGCAAGAGCAAGATATGCAGGTACCAAGTGATGTTCAAGGCGAGCAGCAGCGTATGTTGTGTGACAGGCTTGAGGCCAGGAGCGAGAGGTTGACTTACCTGGACGGTTCATTGTTGCGACAGAGTGCGCGCGCGAGATGTTGGAGCTCAAAGTTTGGCAGCCGAATCTTGTGTACGTTTACTGTCTGGCTGTATCACGAATGCGGCTCTGGCTGGCTCAGACTGGCTCTGGCTGTAGGTATCTGATTGTGGGGAATATTAAGCTTTCGCTATAGGGCTTAGTGTCCGCTTTGACCGCCGACATGTACAAGGGTCCACCAACCGCCTCCAAAGCACCCAGCAAGGGCCAAAACTTCGTGACATGAATGAGAAACTCGCATGTGCATCTGGCAATGACTTCGAGGGTCCGTCGCGCTCACGTCAAAAGCAAAGCTTGTTGCTACCATGAATGAAGCATATCAGGCTCCATGCCACGCCGTCGTCTTCGAAAACGGCACTTCCGTGTAGCATGGTAGTGGACGCACCTTGGGGTCATCAACCACCATCACTGATGAACACGAGTCATTCTGTTTGCACCAGCAATGAAGGTGGAAACGAAGGTGGAGATGAAGGTATAAACGTTATGCGAAGTATTTTCATTCGTCTTCTTGACAACAAAACATAGCGCTGTAGTTCTCCAAAGTAGTTGACCTCCTCATTTCATGCACCGCCTCATGTTGGGCGGGCAGCAGTACCACCGTAGTAGGCTTTTTGTCGCGCCAGGTATCAATATCCTCCCAAGTTCCCAGATTGCCCTATCCCAACTCTCTCGTTCACGCACCAGTAGCACGTTTACCACTCAAGCGGCTCATCCTTCTCCTCACCACGGTTCGTCTTCGGCACCGGCGCAGCAGGAACCTGTACCGGACCCTTACGGTCACGCTTGAGGTAACCGCTGCCGTCCAACCAAGGCGTGTCCTCAGTACGACGGCGCTCGAACTTGGCGATCTTGTCGTCAAGCTGCATGGTAAGTCCGATGTCATCAAGGCCGTTGACCAAGCAGTGACGACGGAAACTCTCGACTTCGAACGGTGCTAACTCGGTACCGTCAGCCTTCTTGATGGACTGGTTGACCAGGTCGACCTCGATCTCGCGGCCGGCAGAGGCTTCATCAAAGATGGCGGAGAGGGCGGCCTCATCTTCGATGCGGATGGGCAGCATGCCGTTCTTGAAGGTGTTGTTGAAGAAGATATCAGCGAAGGAGGGGGCGATGATGCACTTGATGCCAAAGTCAAGGAGGGCCCAGGGGGCGTGCTCGCGGGAGCTGCCGCAGCCGAAATTAGGGCCCTTGACGACCAAGATCTTGGCGTGGCGGAATGGCTCCTGGTTGAGCACGAAGTCGGGGTTGTCGGAGCCGTCGGACTCCTTGTACCGCCACTGGTTGAAGAGCGCAGTGCCAAGACCGGTACGCTTGATCGTCTTGAGAAATTGCTTGGGGATGATGGCGTCGGTGTCGACGTTGGAGCGGTCCATGGGTGCTGCGATACCCTTGAGCTGAGTGAACTTGGGCATGCCGGTCGAAGTGGATGGAGCACCAGTCGAGACGGTGTTACCCTGGGATGTCTCATCAAGGTCCATCGTCCTGATCAGATCGTCGTCGGTCTCAGGCTCATCAACTTGAGGGTCAAGCTCAACCTGGTTTGGCGCCTTGCCACTGACTTGCTGGAGGTTATCGACATTGCGCACATCGGCAAGTCTGCCTGCAAGAGCACAAGCCGCGGCCATAGCTGGAGACATCAGATGGGTACGACCACCTGCACCTTGGCGACCCTCGAAGTTGCGGTTGGAAGTACTGGCGCAGCGTTCTTTAGGGGAGAGAATGTCTGGGTTCATGCCAAGGCACATGGAGCAACCAGCCTCTCTCCACTCAAATCCAGCCTCAACGAAGATCTTGTCAAGGCCCTCCTTCTCGGCTTGCTGCTTGACAAGTCCAGAACCAGGAACGATCATTGCGCGCTTGAGGTTGGAAGCAACCTTCTTGCCTTCCACGATCTTTGCCGCTGTCCTCAAGTCCTCGATACGTGCGTTGGTGCAAGATCCGATGAAAACCTTGTCGAGAACAATATCCTGCATTGGCGTACCCGCCTCAAGACCCATGTATTCCAGCGCGCGCACGCAGGCCTTCTTCTTGTTTGGGTCCTCGAAATCGTTTGGGCCTGGAACCTTGCCGGTGATGGGAATAACGTCCTGCGGAGAAGTGCCCCAAGACACAGTCGGCTCAATATCCTTTGCGTCAATGAAGATCTCGATGTCGTAGCTCGCACCGTCGTCACTCTTCAAGCTCGACCAGTACGCAACAGCCTTCTTCCACTCCGGACTGTCGACCTTCGGCGCCAAAGGCTTGCCCTTGAGGTATTCGAATGTCGTCTGGTCCGGCGCAACCATACCAGCTCTTGCACCACCCTCAATGGACATGTTGCAAATGGACATTCTTGCTTCCATGCTAAGACCACGGATCGCAGATCCGCAGAACTCAATGACCGCTCCAGTACCGCCTGCAGTACCAATCTTGCCGATAACGTAGAGGATGATATCCTTGCTGCTGACGCCTGGTGCGAGCTGGCCATCAACCTGCACCCTCATGTTCTTGCTCCTCTTGGTGATCAAGGTTTGTGTAGCGAGGACGTGCTCGACCTCACTGGTGCCGATGCCGAAGGCCAGCGCACCGAAAGCGCCATGGGTAGAAGTGTGACTGTCTCCGCAGACGACTGTGGTACCTGGGAGAGTGAAACCCTGTTCTGGGCCGATGATGTGCACGATTCCTTGCCGCTTGTCGCCGAGGCCGAAGTATGTAAGGTTGAAGGCTTTTACATTCTCCTCGAGGGTAACGCATTGTGTTCTTGAGTCGTCTTCCTGGATGAATTGCGCGACGTTCTTGAAGTTCTTACGGGGAGTGGTGGGGACGTTCTGCCAGATGTTAAGATCTCATACCCCCCACGCTCGTTCAGTTGCTTTGTACATACGTGATCTGTGGTGGCCAACGTGCAGTCTGGCCGTCTTACCTTGCGGCCTGCGTTTCTGAGGCCTTCGAAGGCTTGTGGAGAGGTGACCTCGTGAACGAGATGCCTGTCAATGTAGAGCAGGACTGTGCCGTCATCTTTCTCGTCGACGATGTGGTCCTGGAAGACCTTGTCATAGAGGGTTCTCGGTCCTCTGACTACGCCGGGCATTTTTGTAGGATTGTTTACAATCAAGGAGAAGAGAAGGGGCTACGGATCGAGGGGAGTAGGGGAGATCAGAGAGGCACAGAAGAGGAGGAGAAGGATGCAATGGGTCAGGTGTACTGTAGCTGTGCTTGAAGATCTATATAGAGAGGCGGGCGTAATTCGATTCCCCTCCGCTATCGGACTCGAAATGGCTCTGACTGAATTTCGTAGAACAACTGACAAAGCAGTGCCATTCATTGGCTCACGAACCCCGCGTTCGTCACCCGGTATCGCTGCGGAAGGCTGCAGAACCCGTCGCTTGCCGCCGTGGGGCAAATCATCGCATTCGAACAAAAAGAATTATACACCCTATACAAGATGTTGCTGTCATCAAGGCCCGCTGGCGCAATGGTAGCGCGTCAGATTCCAGTGTTTCTAGGACCAGGAACATCCTGAAGGTTACCCGTTCAAATCGGGTGTGGGTCATCGACTCGAATAAGGGTGCTCACGGCACCTACCTCTGTTTTTCTTTTTGTCCTGTTCTCCGTCTCATCTCCCAGACACGCCGCTGTACACCTAACAGGGTTTCCTTTTGCTTCGCCGTGCAGCTTCCTACCGGCTTTTCTTGTTTATTGTTCTGTTGTGCTAATGTTCAAGTGTGGAGAGTGACAGTAGACCTTATGTGTACCGAACAGTATTGACAACTTGTATGTCTATCCAAGCAGTATATGGCATGGGCAAGCGAAGACGATCCTGTCTCAATCAAAAGGCACCAAAGACTACGGCCTTGCTACAAATATTGTCCTGCTGGACGAGCGACTCTTCAATCTTTCGAAGAAGATGGGTAGTCTTCACAAGTAGTTCTGTACGACGTTAACGCAATCGCGGCGGGGGCTCACGGCGGGATATGCTCACCTTCGAACTCGATGTAATAGCTGACAGCAACCTCCTCTTCTGCCGAGTATAGGATGGGGTTGTCCCGCCTCCACTTCCTCTCCCTGACCCTGAACTTGATCCCGACTGCATTGTTACTATTGTTCACCCATAGGATGCTTGGATCTTGTGTCAGGTCTTCGACCGAACCCTCTTTCGAGCTTTGCGCACTTTTCCGGCCCGCACCAATCTGTCCAGCCAACCAATCTCTCCACACTCTGATAGTCCCATCGCTAACCTCCACGATGCTCATGAACAACCCTCTCCTAGGCCCAATCTTTACCAGGTTCGTCACCGCGCACAACTGGCTGAACAGCTCATGTGCATCTAGGCTGACCGTCTCGGCCACAAGCTCACTCCCCGCACTCTGGTGCTGCGTGCTCTGACTTGCGGAACTCGGATGTGTCCTCGAGCCTGGTATATCACCGGCAGGATGCCTTCGTACAATAGTCGGCGACCCCGGCTCGCGGTCTGGCTCTTTCCTCGAGGGCCGGAAACGGGTGTACAGTTTCCCCATTGCACCGACCTCTCCGACTTGGTAGTTGCCATCTGGATCGCAGGGCTCGAGGCTGTCGGACAGATTCGGCGTTCCTAGAGAGGTGCAGTACAGATGACCGGCGAAGAGCTTAGCGGATGGATGATAGCATTCGAGAATGAGAGTGTGGTCGCCTAGTCCAGCGGCGGTGGTCAGGCGGTGATGAAGAATACGGAGAGTCAAAGCGTGAAACCGCTTCGATACAGGGGTGAGAGCGAGAAGGGTGCTGGTTGGTAGTGGTTGCAGGATACTGTAGATAAGCTCATTAGGTAGGGCATTGATGCCGTTGCTGTAACTTTTTGATGACTCCATGCTGATATACTGTTGTTCTCGGATCTGACGAAACGACAGACGGAGTAGAATCGAGTTGTATCTTATCGGTGGAATGGATAATTGAGGACACCCACTTTAGGAAAGCACTCATGTGACGTCGCGACCGCGTTTGCCAAGAAATACTGGGCGATAAGGGCTTATCTGATCGTTTTGTCGCGTCCACGTTTGCCTTTGGAAAGCACGTCCAGATGGACCCTCAAATACCGTAGTTCGATGTCGGAAAAGATGGCGCAAGGGTAGATTCACTCCAACGACGTGCCAAACATGCCAACCATGACGGGCTTTGTCAACAGCCGGTCGAGCACGCCGGTCCCTGGCCAGCCGCCGGTTAGGCCGAGCATGAATGAAAGCAGGCGAGCAGCATTACAAAAACTCAAAGTTTGGGTACCGCCAACAAGTCTCAGCCAAAACCAGCAAGTCCAAGATCGCCCTCAGACGCGCGGTCAGGCGGTTGCTGGGAATGTTCAGATTAAACGTGACGCCTACGACACCGATGTATCAACCTTGGACGACACCACTACGACCGTCACCGAGAGAGGTGCGGACGTTCCTCACCAACAGCAATCCTACCAACAGGAACGCTATGTTCGGCGCGAACGATTGCCGGACGGAAGCTACGAAGACGTCGAATATGTAGATGAATACGAGACCGGGTCCGGCAGTGAAGTTGAGGACGAAGATGGCCATGATGAAGACGACCAGCATGGGACAGGTCAACTAGCTGACCCTGACCTCATGCATGCAATCGCCAACCCATCTCACAGTCCTACTTTCAATCAAGTCATGCAGAGCAAATTGCAAGCGGCTCCAAAATCATACCCATCTACGACATCCGGCGCACCAGAGCGTATAGCAAATCAAGGATATGGCGACTATGCTGGAAAGCACTACGCGGTTGATGATAGGAACTACAAGCAAGTTCATCCTCAGCAGTCACACTTCGCAGCACAAGGTCCTGTACCAGCTCAATTCCAGACCGCCCAGCCACAGCGTCAACAGTCGATTCCGTTCCGTCATGATCAGAACCAGAGTGCTGTAAAGCAACCTCCTCCCGCTAATGCGGCGATTGTTTTGCCAGATATACCAAGAAATAGAGAGCAACGCCGACTCGAGGCAGAACACGCTCAAATGCAACCGGCCAACGCAAATTTGAATGCCGCGAAGCCCGCAAATACTACTCGTACGATACCTTCACGTGCGAGAGAGCCAGTCACAGTTGAGGTAGCCAAAACAATCGAGTCGCCAAAGGGGACTGTCATGTTACACCGCGCCAAGGGCGCGACGAAGGCCCAAACCAACAAGCAAGCGCCAGAGCAGCTTGGAGCGATGACGGAAGTTGCTGATCGTGTCGGCAATGGCGAGTCTGGGGAGCACTTTGTAGAAACCCAAAACCCGATCCAAATGGAGCGAGCTGGTCAGCACCCTGCCTGGAACCCCGAGCAGCTTGAAGCTGACCAGCTTGATCACGACCCGGACGAACTGTTCCAGATGGATTACGCTACCCTTAAGAACGAGCCGTTCGACAACGACCCTCGACACCCCGGTTCAGTTCTCCCAGAAGAGTTGTTGAACGTCGACCTTCCGGAACGGCTTCAACATTTGGCTGAGCGCAGTGCCCAGGATCAGGCAATGTTTTTGCGAGCTTGAACCTGAATGAATGGGAAAGGGCTGGTGATTGGTTCTTCGATCAGTTTTCTGAGATCATGCAGAAGCTCAAGGCGGCTCGTCAACAGAAGCGTGAGCTTGAGCTTGATTTCGAAGCCGAGATCGAGAAGAGGCACCAGGCGCTTGTTCGCAAACGTGAGGTGACAGATGAGGCCCTGAACGCCATGAAGAAGAGCGGCGGACAGGTACTTGCTGTTACGCCGAAAAAGAAGCAGAAGTGCAAGGGTTGATGCGCAACTCACGCTGCGAATGATCGATGGGGAAGTTGGCGATTGATTGCTTGTTGGCAATACCGTTGCCTTGATGGAATTTTGAAAGGCCGCGTGCATGGTTTGCTGGATAGAGTCTTTGTTGTGTCGTTTGCTGTTGCTGTTCTGCTGGTGGACGCTCTATACCCATTTTGCTTGGCCATTTGCTTGGGCTTCTTTTACGACGGGCTTTGCTTTTATCAGACGGCATGACAACTCACAATGATGTGGTTTAGTTCTCAAGGTTGTGATCAGGATGTTGTTCTTCGTACGAAAGATCGCACGGTGATGCTGCAATACACGCTTCCTCAGGAAAGGTGATATACAAATCCGCCAAGCAATTCGACCCGACTCCGTGTCTGTCACTTGCCTCAACTTTGCAATACGACGCTCCACGTCCACACTCACGTTGCCCCAATTACGGCAGAGGCGGTCATCATGAATGCCCTCCGCCCCTTCCGATCTTACATTCCACCACAAAACTTCTCCGAGAGCGTCGCTTACAATGACGACTGTCTTCTCAGCTATCCCTATGCCCAAAGGCGGCCTCTTCGCTAGAAAGCCGGACCTCTTCAGATCACCCTGGAGCACAACCGATGCACCGCTCTTCTTCGACCCAGACGCCACTGTTGTCGATCCTGAAGAGCCGGACCTTCGAGACCTTAACACCGCCCTACGCGCCTTGACGGATATCTTTCCGGACGTCCAACCTGAGGTGTTTCGCGAGATGCTGTTGAGCCTGGGAGAAGAAAGCAGAGTAGCAGTAGTCACGGAACATCTGTTGAGGGACAAAGCTAAATGGGTACGGGGACGATACAGGAAGCCCGCAGGGCGGGAGCAAGAGTCCCAGCGTACAGCTGGAAGTAAGAGCACCGCCAAGGAGGTGGAGCAAGGCCACGCATACACTCTACCGGTCGAGGAATCGTTCCGCAGCGAGTGCTATAGACAGGCTGTAAAGATGGCATTCTACCAAGAGTTCAAATCCCTCAGTCACTCCACTATCAAGGCAGTCATGGCGGAACACAACTACTCTTACACGCAGGCTCGACCGACTCTCCAAGACCTGACGTCCAAGTCGTGGAGAGCGGCGTTGTCAAACTTTTGGTACCGGAAGAAGTCGCCTACTTCCGAAGCGGACGTCCATCCTTTGATCATCTGGCAGCAGAATCTCGCAGGTAGTGGAGAAGTGGTACCTTTCCTCAAGCCAACCAAAAGCCCGCAACTGAATCGTGAGCTTTACGACACGCTAATTGCGCCCTCGATTGCCAGGACGCGAGAAGAGCAGTACCGTTCTGATCTTGCTTTGGCGTTCCAGATCAACGACGCAGAAGCAGAAGAGGCGGAGGCATTGTACGACTGCGAATGTTGCTATACGCCCAGCGCATTCGAACAAACTTCTACCTGCAACGATGGCTGTCACTACATCTGCTTTCGCTGTATCCGCCATGCGGTCAATGAAGCGCTGTTCGGGCAGGGCTGGGCCCGCAACATTGATCTCGAGACTAGCTCCGTACGGTGTCTGGCGCCCACGCTTGAAGAATGCCATGGTTCTGTACCAGCGCCATTCGTTCAGCGAGCGTTGCTCGAGGAAAAAGACGGCGAGCACACGTGGCGCAAACTGCAGGATCGATCGGCCACCGAATGCTTGCTCAAGACGCAACTTCCGCTCTTGCGATGTCCTTTCTGTCCATACGCCGAAGTTGACGAATTGCCCACCCCGCGGTTCAAGTCTTTATCTGCCTTACAGGAGCAGCTACTGCGTATCACTCCTA